CCCTTATGCAGTACTAAATGAATGAAATGAAATGAAATGAAACAGACGATATTCAATAATTGATTTTAAGTGAATTTAACAAAGAGAAATATAATTGGATTATTGGTAATAACCAAACACAAAAAAAAAATTATAATTTTGAAGATGCATGGGAGACACTAGGACGCGAGGATCACCCATACACGTCGATAACGCGAGAGCCACGACAAGAAAAATTATTGGGGAAGATTAATACCGTAAATGATCAATAACCAATGTTTCCCCACACAGAACATATTCGTAATAATAATGAAAAACAAAGAACCAAAATCATAATAAAAATCAAATAATTAAGTAGCTGAAGGCTACTGAGTGGCGCGTCACAAGCAGACTCGAATTCATTTTCAAACGGGCCCAAAATGGACGCCGGAGTGAATTTACCAAGAGAATCACGCGTGCACTCACAAATAAAAGTCGACGCTCACCGTAATTAGGCGAGAAATACTCCAAGAAGCTCGTCTGGACCCTCTTAGCGACGACGACGTCTCAAGGTAGGCCGAGAAATCCGGGCACAACACCACAATAATTCTTTATAAAAGAAAAGAACCAACAAAAGATGCTCAAAGAGCGTTCAATTCATTTTAATGCGCAGAGCGACTTGACTAGTCAAAATCCCAGCGAAGAGTGTCCGTCGGGGCCGTACATCGCCCCGAGGAACCTCAAAATCTTTGCTACTCCCAACCCAATCAACCGATGGTGGCGCGGAGAATCCGCGTTACCATCTGATTTTGAAGCGGGAATTTTTAAAATTGTCATAATTCCCAATTCCTAAGTCGCAGGGAACTGAAATTGGCGCCGCGCGGTCGGTGGATATGATCCGCGTTGAACGGCGCAGAAACCAACATAATCCGATGCTCTCTCAATGTTGTATCATGAGTTTTTTACTGGACGGCCTTACGCCACCGATCCATCGGTGAAGTGGTGGGGGTTCGCACGTAGAGGCCTGAGATGCCTGCTGGCGTGCGTCGATCGTATCTCGCGTCCTTCGTGGTGTGAGTCTCTCAGACTCGGTGTGTGCGTGCTCGTCGGTGTGCTACTCGTCATCTGCTGTAGCGCCGACTTGTAGCCATTCCCGATGTTCCGCTCCACTCCCCTTGTCACGAAGCTCACCCGTAACCCACGGTGAGCGCGATCGACAGAATTTGAGAGAATAATAAAAGAACGAGTGAATATAAGAAATAAAGAACTGACAATTGTGGCCCTGGGTGATCCGACTCATCGCTGGGGTAAAAATACTAAATTTTCCCCCATAATCCGCGATCAGTTCAGGCGAGGAACAGTACATGATTTTTATCATGTTACAGTAAATAATGAAATATATCAATTCATATATATGAATCGATAATAGTATATTGTGCCCCTAGGGAGTAAAAGTATTTTCTGATGAATGTGATGTTATAACCCTCGCCTTCGGCTCGGGTTATAATCACATTCGTCAGAAAAAACTTTTACTGTCGTGTGGCACACGATATTTTATGCCTCGAGGACTGACCGAGCGAAGCGAGGATAGAATCACAGTTTTCCGTCCCTAGAGGCATAAATGTAATTTTCCAAGAGATTTATAAACAGAATAATGCGAACAATCTAAAAAAAATCTAAATTGTGGGCAAGTATTGAGTGATTTGATTATACTAGCAGCATCTGTAAGTGCGACCGTTTTCTAGATTCTATAATACTAATTCCTGAAAAAAGGATTAGGGCGAGTCAAGAAAAGGGACAAATAAGGGATAATTTGAGAATAATAATCTATATTCTTTTCTAAATACAATTATGATCGTCAAAAGACGTAAATAAGGCCTTTACTGAGATCTAGGGAGTGGGGGAGGCCAGGCAACTTTTGTACACGTAAAAAGGGAGTGACTCTAATGCAGAAAAAGGGGAGAAGCTAGTCGTGTCGAGGGAATGCAACTAAATATGAAAATAATGATTGAATGGGGAAGAAACAAAAGAGTGTAGGTTCACCGTTGGGGGGTATGAAGGGTAATATTGTGGGGACAAGAGGGAACATGAGGGGGGTAACTTGTACTCACGATGGGACTTCACTCTGGCAAATACGTGGAATTCCACCGGCGCCTTGCACTCCTTCAAAATACCAGGGCGTATTCCTGCAGAGCCTCCTTTCCACCTCGGGGTTTCCTGGGCACCAATACTAGAGCTGGGATGAGCTCGATGTATCAAAAGTCCTCTTTTTATCCGCCAAATAACTTCCGGGCGAATTTTACTGTATTCACTATTACTACTTTCGGGGCACGTGGCGACTCACGGGGCAGCTAATGCACGAGTGTCGGTCTCTTCGTTTCCTCCGTGATTCGTGGGGGTTCGTTAGGTGCCGAAGTCCTTCGGGTTGTAATTCGGGAGCAATCGGGGCCAATCAGTACGGGTGAGTGGTGACGATGACCACAATCCAGGGATGTCTCGCTGGGATCGTCGAGGGCGGTGGGTTGCTGAGGCCCATGTATGGGTGGTTTGTGGGGGGAGCAACGGCTCCTTCAGTTTATCCGGTAGGACTGGAACTGTGATCTTTCTTCGGCTGATGTCTTCGTGATGTCCAGTGGCGGGAGTAAAGGGGCGATGAGGGGAAAATCGAGGGAAGGGGTATCCAACGGTGGTGGGATTTTATTATTTAGGGGGCAGTGTGTAGTTGGGCAAAGTATAAAATAAAAACAAATAAAAATAAAGAATCGCCTCGTCACAAAAGTAACTATAAAAAATTTATTTAATGAGGTCAAACAAATGGTTTATGAGTGGATTTCTAGTTAAAAAACCCCCAAAATTTGTCAGTTTTATTGTTTTTCAATATGACAAAAAATGGAAGTTTTCTTCGCATTATTCTATAGACAAACATGAAATAAAAGGTGACGATTCTTGGCAATGCTGCATCTTCATCGAATCATGTTAAAATGAATTTTCGAGGAGTGAATCTTTTCTTCAATAGAAATTATTGTGAAAAAAAATACTAAAAAAATCTGGCCTGCATGTAGATGTGTTTCTGATTTAAAAAAAAAAATCCGATTTTTAGAACAATTTTTGATGATTAAAAAAAGGAAAATTGGAAAAAGATGTTTTTTATTTGCACTAGGCAGATCGCGCGCTTCGCGCGCGCTACCTAGTTTGCATGAAATTGATATTTGTCGTCATTTTCATGAATTATAAATCCCCCGACTTACGAACTACGTGATCCTACATTATGTCATTTTTTTTATTATATTTCAATCATGTTTTAATATTTATATCAGAAATAATTATAATTATTGTGACAAATAAATTAACCAACTATAAACCAACTTTAAACAGAAACTTCACGTCATTCTCCTGACAACTTCACAAATGATAACGATGTTCAAATCGATTCGTCATACAAATTGACGGATCGAATCGAAAGCTCCATCATTAGCAATAAATGATTTCGAAAAATGGAAAATATCAATGCATTTTTAATGGGGCATCAGTTTGGTGTCAATTTTTTGAACGTAAATGTGATATTTCCATATTTAAGCATTAGGTACTTACACAGATTTGGACAATAACCGAGGAAATTTTCCTCATGAAGAGGAAAAAATTTGAATTTTCGCAGCGTGATATCCCAAAATCAAATTATTATTGCTTATCAGAATTTATCTATTGGATGGAATGGATAAAACACGGTATCAATTGCAAGATCTCCATAAGACCTTCAACTTAGTATATAATACATCCCCGCTGGTGAAGTCCAAAGCATAATTTTTTGTCAGAAACTATGATTTTTTAAGTGTGACATGAAGTAAAAAATAGAAACAACCTACCATAATTGGATGAAAATTCCACGAAATCAGATTTTTTATGTACCATTTTGAAGAACTGACAATACTCTTCAAAATGATGTACGAATTCTTTACTTTACTTCCACGAGAGTGATTGAAAAATGCGAACTAATCTGAATTCAGAAAAAAATCAAGAAATTCAATTCTTAGATAAAATCTCCTATAAGTTGATCAAACTTGGCTGTAATTGAATAGTTCAGGGGTCAATTTGAAGGCAATTTAATGTTCTTTGAATTATATATAACATATTCCCACAAACTTGAAGAAAAAAACAGAAAATATCATCGTTTATAGAAAAAAAATGGAAATTTTCAAAACGTGACATGCCAAAATCGATGCATTATCGCTTGTAACAATTGATCTAATGGTTGGAATCAATAATATGAAGTATCAATTTGAAGATCCCGATGAAACCTTCGAATTTATATATGATATATCCCCGCTGATTAAGTATAAACCCTTGATAAATTACAAAAACTGTCATTTTTTAGGTGTGACAAAACATAAAAAATGGAAAAAAACTGTAATAAATTGATGAAAATCCAATTAAATCGCATTTTTAATACACCATTTCGAAAAACAGTACATGTTCTTCAAAATGATGTATAAATATCTTTGTTTAAGCCACTTGAAAGCATCGAAAAATCCATCCGAAGTTAATTTTTCAAGTGAAACATGAAAATTCACTTATCGCTTAAAACTCTCATAACTCAATGAAAAATGGTCAAAATTGGATGAAACAGACGTCACTTTGGAACTCATTTAATGAGCTTTCCAAAGATTGTACTATATACATGGTTTATAGAAAAGGAAAAAGAACTTGAGCATAAAAACCAAAGAAAAAAGCCTGGTAACGCTCACGGATCTTTTATTTATGGATAAAACTGGATAAACAACAGGAAAAATTATCGATTTAAAATTCGGTGGGGCCATTTTCGCCATACTCATTTCGCTAGACTCTTTGCCAGAAATATTGTCTATATAGGTTAGTTCAAAATGCTACTATTTAATGATTTTTGTCAAACAAAAATAATCTAGTGAGGCTGAGTTGAAATGGAATGTTCCTTTTCACGCGTTTGCATCGCTTCATACCCATCGGTTAGTCTGGAATTCTAAACTTGGAAAAAGTACGTATTAATGGTTTATGAAGGCTAGACTTACATTATGAAAATAGCCAGTGAAGACGAGCTCCTGCAGTGGTCTGACATACTCTTTGAGAAAATACAACCATTGTCGCTCGTAATGCACTTGGTTCATATGGATGTCACGGGTTGGAACGTTCTCATAGCCACCTTGCAATCTGGAATCCTATAAATCCTTTCCATTAAATTACTTTGAAGGTTTCAGCTGTCGGAATTGTTTTCGCATTATTAATGAAAATACATTGACAGAAGTAAAAAAAAGGTCAATGTGAGTTATCATTTGGCTGAAGTGGACGATGAGTTGAAGAGAGGAATAGAAAAAGTTGAACGACAACAAACCAATTTGTTCTTTGTTTGTTTCTATTACTTAAAACGGTTTCTTCTTCTTTTTCGTGTTTTTTTTTCTATTCATGCATTGGTAATATTCTTCCACTTGAGAAGTAAACAAAACTCGGCAATCGTTCTACATCAAAGCTTTTTGGCTACATTTGAATTCTCTTCAGGTTTTATTCAAGAAATTGTTGAGGCTTTATTCGGAAAATTGTTTCATTCTGTTATTGGTGTAAATTGATGAAGAATTTTTTAGATACTGGTCATGCATAAACATGTCCCCTATAGTGATAACCAGGGACTGGAAAGGAATGCGGTAGCGAAACGAAAATGCGTTTCTGAACGGAGAAAACGAAATTCATATTCAAAATTCATATTACTGAAGGAGATGATATGGTATCATCGTATCGAATTCTCGAAGTGCATGGTATCGATATTTTTCATCAATTGATCAAAAATATCGATATGATGAACACGTCATATCTGGTTTTTGGAGCAATGAAAAGAGAAATATGTATAGACTATGTGGTGTGAAAGAGTGAGAAGAAAAGTTGAATTATCACCATCAGCTGTAACCGCTATTTTATTTTGGATCATAATGAGAAGGAATAACGCTCAACGTCGTGATAAAAAAATTACAAATATAATAAAATAGGGTGAAAAATTCATTGAAAAATAATGAGACATTTGAGAGTTTGTAGGAGATTACTCAGACAACCTATTAAAAATACTCTGACCCCTCGCGTCGCCAAGTTGACCCTTCTGCTTCAGCTAGGTTTAACGTCTACAAGTCAAATTGAAGGCACTGGAACTAATATACGCGTGATTAATAAATGTTCCAGGCTATTCAAACGGAGAACCGATTGTCCTGTTCCTTCTCTAATCGTGATCTGCCTCCGTTTTGCGGCTTCAAATCGTCGCTAACACAAAAACGCAAATCAAGCATCCTCACGGTTTTCAGAAACTAAGACAGCCATCCTGCTATTATTAATAGTCTCCAATACAGTTAGTTTCTGGACGGAAACTGGACTCAAACGCCATTATGAGTCTGCTTAGGTAAGGCAGTCCATGCTCACAGACACTGAAATATTTTCAGTTTTGTGGACGGAAATAGTATGAAGAATATTATTATCTTAAGAATAAAATAACCGACGTTTACACTGGATCCATATGTTACAATAAGAATAGTAGATTATGCACCAAGGGAGGAAAATAGGATATTCCAACCCGCGTGTGGATTACTGTCCGAGGGGAAGCCGAGGGCGGTAAACACGCAGGTTTGAATGTCTTGCTTTACTCCCTAGATGCACATATTATTTACTATTATAACTGCACGGTATAGTTCGATTTTTCTTCGTAAATACAGGGAGGAACGTGGATTATGGCATTCCGAGGATCGTCAAAAACAACAGAACCCCGAAGAATGAAAGTGGCCTACCACTTTCCTCCCGTGATTTGGGGAGGAAAATCGAACTTTCCGTGCAGATATGACGAAAAAATCATTCAGTATTCTATTGTCGAATGGGGCATAGAAACGATGCTGCGGATCCAGACAAGGTTTGCTAACCAAGGAGGCCCTCACACTTGAGGGGATCACCACAGCAATGTTTGAATTCTTGAATCGGAAATACGAGGATGTCAAAACCTCAATCGCTCACCTGTCTCAACAAGTCACTGAAGGGGAGACCAAATTATCAACTATCACAGATGATCTAAAGGCAGTGATTGGTGATGTCACTGAGGTGAACAACAGGGTACAAAGGGTTGAAGATAATATAAGGGAAATCCGCCAAGCAGGTAATACTTCTGATATGTCGCTTATCCTTTCCAGAAGTGTTAAGGAGTTTGAGAAACGTCAAGAGAGAAAAAAAAACCTTATGGTTTTTGGGCTCCTGAAAACCAAGGAAAAGGATCGAAATGAAAGAATGCTGGTTGATAAATCTACTGCCCTTAAAATTGTGAAACAAGTAAATAACAGGTACACACTGCAGTCAATCAAGTGTGCTCGTGTCCGAAAATACGCGTCTACCTCATAGCATCCTCACCCTTTAAAAATCCTGTTTAATGAACCCTCCCTTGTCTTCCAACTAACTCAGGAGTTCGCAAGAAGGGCTAACAATAGACTCTCGACATCTCTATCCAACATTATGATTTCTTCGGACAACTACTCTTCAGCGCCAGGCGTACATCAAAGTAAGAGAGGAGTTACCTCAGCGCCAGCCAACGACGGGCTCTTAGGACTGGAGGATAGTGTCGAGGAATGGATCTCTTTGAGTATTCTTCAGGGTCCTTCGTCCATGTTATGTAATACTATTGTTATTCTCAATAAGGGGCCGTAGGTGCAACTCACGCATGTACTTAATGCATGTTCTTAATGAGAACGTGTAAACGCTTCAAAAGCAATACAGAAGCTCGATTACTGTAGCATCTTGTGGTCTCTTCATGATAAATATAAACAAAACCTGAAAGCAATTCAGAAAATATTTCTGAAATTTCTTTACTGGAAGAAGGATGGTGTTCATCTGGAACGCACCCAAAAACAAAACTACTGATGCAGGTCTATTTTTCGGTTACATTTAAGCCGATTTGGGGCTATGGGGCTTCGTCAATGGGGTCTCATAAGGGGATCTTTGTATGGGACAGGGAGCATGGGTGGGGGGGTCATACTAAATTCTCGACATACAGCCCATCCGTAGTCGACTTAGCTCGTCGATGAGTTTTTCAAGGATATCTCCAAAACTAAAGGAGGAGGAGGGGAAGAAAGTTGTTCAATCCATAGCATTCACTCAAATGAATGCAATGGAACATAGGGGTTCGGGACTCATAAATTACACTTTTGAAGGGCGAGGAGGGAGTGAGGAAGTAATTTGCCGAGTTGCACAGATGATTCTAGTGATTCACGCAGAACTTGTATGGATGAGAGTGATCAACGTAGGATGTTTTCTATTATGATTAATTCATGCGAAAACTGCAGAGTTCACGCAGAAAAATTTACGAGGGAAAGGGGGGGGGGCAATCTATCGAATGAAACGGATGATTCTGTTCATTGACACAAGTGTACGTGCAACATTTTTTCAAGTAAAAGTGATTCATGCAACAACTGTAGTATTCACGCAGATGAATGTAATGAAACACGCACAAATCATGCTCATGATCCTAGTGATTCATGCAAGGGTAAGTGGTATTGCAAACATAATGTTTCCTATTCTAAGTGATTCGTGCAGAACCTGCAGCAATCATGCCAATGAATGCAATGGAAGGGGAGGAGAACAAGGAATCAGGTGGATCAGTCAAATCATCACCGACGTCGGTGGCCGAGTGGATTAGACGCAAGTCTAGTGTGCGAACGGTTGTGAGTTCGATTTCCGGTGGAACCGAATTTTTCAACGGAAGGCTCCGGCGAGCGGCAGGTTACTAATAGAGTAACCGCCTGTACCGGTATGTGTTCCCTGTGGTTTCCCACGCCTGCTCCTATGTTCTATAGGAGTGTGAATACGGTAGAGTGTAGAATCCACAGCTGCATGCATAGGGTGAGATTGAATGCCGAAAAGAGACCCGAAAGGGGACTCAAAGGCCGTAACAATAAAAAAAAACTCAAATAATCTTACCGATTTAGGCAAAAGTGAGTGGAGTGGTTCATACAGCGTTTGTATAGAGAAGAGTAATTCACATAAAATGTTTTAGATTCTCAGTATTGCACACAATACCTGCAACAATCACGCATATGAATGAAACAGAACATAGGGCTCCACGCAGGTCCCGCGAAACTCACGTAGATAATATACACGCAGTATTCATATAGATGAGAGTGATTCACGCAGGATGGTCTTCATCCCAAGTGTTTCACGCAAAACTCGCAGCAATCACGCAGGTGAATGTAACGGGAAGTAGGGCTTCACTCCAGCCATATGGGACTCAAGTAGGTGGTCCTAGTGATTCACTCAGTACTCTTACAGATGGGGGCGATTTACGCAGGATGTTTCCTATTCTGAGGGATTCACGGAACGATGGTGGAGTATTTCACCCATAATGTTTTTATGCCCGATAAAACTCAGAGGAGGGGTATATGCTATCGGTAAAACCTAACTCAACTTCCGATTTTCTTTCCTCGGAGACAACTCCGTGAGAAATTGTCTAGAAAAAACAATTATTGTATTTTTTTTTGGAAATTGACTTACTGAGAATGTTCTAACAGAATGTTCTAACGAAGCCTTTTTTTCCTTAAGGGGAGACAGCAATGAAATTAAAAAGTCTTTTTGAGAGCTAGGAATTCCTTGAGTGACTTTTGATACATGATGGGACCTGTTAAAACGTAGGAAAAAAGATCATTACAATCGATTTTACCCCATACATCAGCGAAAAACGACGTTTCCCGTTTTTACCTTCAAAATGGTTCAAGTACCTCAATTTTCAACTGATTGACATGTTTTTTCTTTCAAAATGTTAGTTAGACTCCAAAGAACGGAGGTATGCATCTGTTTTACGATCCATGGAGTAGATCATGAAAAAATTAGGAAAAAATTGAAAATTGATAAATCAATGTGAAAGCAATAAACGAAAAGAAAAAAATGTGGATAGTAAAACGGATGCATACCTTTATTCTTTGGAGTCTAACGAAGGTTTCGAGCCAAAAAAATGTCAATCGGTTGAAAATTGAGGCGCTTGGACGCTTTTGAAGGGAAAAATGGAAAGCGACGTTTTTCGCTCATGTAGGGGGTAAAATCGATTGTAATCATTATTTTTCCAACTTTTTAACATATCCCATTATATATCAAAAGTCGCTGCATAGGTTCGTAATTCTAATAAAGAGCTTCAAAATTCACCGCGGTTTCCCCT